CTGAACGGTGAACCTCAGGGGTGACTTCATTACTGAGCTGAAAGGGTGTCCAGGCATCGTACTCTCAGGGTTTCTCCAGTCTGTGTCAGGCCAGTAAATCTGGTCTTATACTGTGAGTTAGAATTTGTTCTGCGCTTTTCTCCAACTCTGGATTTCTTTCTTTTCTTCTTGACTTTTTCCTTTTGGGAAAGCTACATCTCTTTGTGTCTTGATAGTTCTATTGCTTGGCACATAGCCATAGCCAATGTAGTATCAGTATGAAATTGTTATGCTGTAGAATTTTTCAGTCTTGATGCAGTTTCATATCTTCCTTACTTTTTAAAAAATGTATTTTGAAATAACTGTAGACTCACAGGAAGTTGTAATAATAGTATATAGAGTTCCTTGAACTCTCCCCCCAATTTCAGTGGTATAGTACGATATCGACACCAAGAATTCAATATTGTTATGATTCTGTTAACAGTTTTCACCAGTTTGTTCATGACTCCGTGCGTGCATGTGGTGCTGTGGATAGGTTTGTGGAGTCACCACCGTGGTCACCATGGAGAAACACCTTCAGGCGCCCTCTTTGTTGTTGCAGCCTCACCTTTACTTTCCTCACTCCGTATCCCCTGGCAACTGCTGATCTCTTCTCCAGCTCTCGGATTTCTTTGCTTTTTAAGCATTCTCTTTTTATCTGAGCCGCTGACAGTTTTGTTCTGCACAGACTAATCTCACCAAACTTTAATTTGGTCATACTTCTCATTTTTTTTTAAAATTATTATTATAGCCATCTTCAGTAGTGTAATTAATTCTTTATTTCTAAGTTCCACTTTCTCAGCTTTGCTTCTTTGTCATAATGTAAAAACTGAGCTATTTTATTTCTTATATTAGATGGATATAAAGCTTTTTTCACCTTTGCTATTTGATATGGCCGAACAAAACGCATGGCTTTGAAATTTTTCCATTATTTTGTACTGTATGAATTTCCATTATTACCTCTTCATCCCTGTGGCTGAACTAATTAACATGCTGCCCATCGTGTACTTTTCTAATTTTTGTCCATAAAACTACTTTCCAGTTCTTCCTGTTTATTTAGTTAAAGGAGATAGGTGGAAACTTTAAGGAATAAAGATAAAATATTACAGTCCCTGTAGAATTTCTGTTTTGGAGGGCTACAAGTAGTATTGAAACAAGGAACAAATACTATGTAATTTCTAAAAATCGGAAAAGATTAATTTGATCAATTTAGAGGGGTGTGGTGCTTGAAGTGTTAAGGTGATTGTGAATCTTTCAAATTTTGTTCTTTCTTTCATTAGCTTGTGGGTGAGGCCAGTTTTAAATTTCAAAACTTGAACATCTTTGTACCCATTCTTATTAATATTTTTCTCCTTTCCAGACAGTCATGATTTCTATAAATTTCCAGAATTTTTTTACTTCATTTCTTAATTCTTACAAAGGTGACTTACATGCATAATATTTTTGCTTCCTATAATTGATTATATATAACGATTTTCATTGTCATTTATTACATTGCTTCATGGTCATTATTGTTTATGCTACTTTATTTTTAAACTTTTTTATGTTGTTTGAACTCTTTTCCTTCTTTCTAATTACAGTACCCACTATTATTTTACATGTGTTTCTTGCTAGGTTTTATATACAGGAGAGAGTATAGAAAGGAATGCTTAGCACTTTAACTCTCCAATTTATCAGAATAAATAAAGAATAAAACTCTAAATGCTTTTTTTCTATTTAGATTTGCTCCTTGGCCCTCTGATATTAACCAATTAAAAACAAACCCCATCATTCAGGTTTGTCTTATAACATTTTCTATTTTAATTTCTAAAGAACAGAAAACCCCTGTAGGCAGTTTGCTTCTAATCCAATTCATAATATAACCTATTGGTACTGCTTTATAACTGTTAATCTCTACCTTTCATCATTTCTAGTTCTTCTTACAAAAGAATTGTCGAGATTTTCTCATACTTATCCTATATCTTTGAAAATCAATGACCTAATTGATTCCCAGTCAAATTTTGGATTAAATCTGAATTGTACACTGCTTTTTCAGGTCGTCTATCAATTGACTCCTTACCATGTTCAAAGCCTTGCTGCTTTCTTTATTCTCTATGCTTTTATTCTTTTTTCTTTTTTATCCTTGAAATGTTCTCTTTATCTTAACCATTTCTAGTGTACTGATTACTCAAAGACATGCTTGAAGATGCATTCTCTTGCAAAAAAAAAATTTTTTTTTAACTTTCTCCATTGACATTACTGTTCCTTGATTTTACTTTTCTGTTTGTTTCACATGTATTTGTCTTGTGTTCACAGCCACATTTTAAGCCCCTTCAGAGCAGATTATTTTAATTCTTTCTTCCCCACTGCACACATATCTAGTGTAATTAGTTGATTAAAGTCATCCTTTTGTCCTATTAAAAGCAGCAAAATATATTTGTTGTTGAGAAGGGAAGAGTGATTAGTTCATCTGCTTGCTGTGATACTAAGCACTCAGCATCTTTGATTTAACATTTGTCGTTCTTTCACCTGATTAAGTTTTGAGTGGATTTGTTTTATTTATTTCTCTCAATTCAAGAAATAAATGATAATGTCATTAATGATGAAGGTCCAGATAATAGCAATTAATATGTAACTATCAGAATTCCATTTTTTATATTTTCTGTTTTTTGGAGGAAGAAGCTGTAGAAAGTTGATAATTAAACTTAGAATTGTGACATCTTTCTATAAAATTATTTATGTCACATAGAATAGTAACATAACACCATTGCTGTCGAGTTGATTCCGACTCACAGCGACCCTATAGGACAGAGTAGAATTGCCGCATATGGTTTCCAAGGAGCACCTGGTGGACCCGAACTGCCAGCCTTTTGGATAGCAGCCGAATGCTTAACCACTGCGCCACCAGGGCTCCTTATGTCACATAGTGGCTGATACTTATTTTTTAAACAAAAATCTTAAAAATAATTTAGATTTGAAAATCTTGATTTGTGACTTAGGATACTACTTATTTTAATTACTGCTGGAGTGGGTTTCAAGGAATAAATATCTATCTTGTTTGTTGTACTTCTGGTGCTAATAGGGTACCTGCTATGGCAGCTGTAAGGAGCCCTGGTGGTGCATTGGTTAAAGTGCTCAACTGCTAACTGAAAGGTCTGTGGTTCAGATCCACCAGCTGCTCTGCAGAGGAGAGACCTGGCAATCTGCTTCTGTAAAGAGTATAGCCTAGGAAACCCTATGGGGCAGTTCTGCTCTGTCTTATAGGGTCGCTATGAGTCGGAATTGACTCAGTGGCCTACAGCAAAAACAATGCCTGCTGTATTGTAGGCATCCATTAGATATTTATTAAATGCACGAGTCCAGTTATTCTTTAGATCCATATTGTTAATGTTTATTGAACCCTTATAGCCTGTCAGCCATTTTCACATTCTTTATTTAATCTTCACAAGAACACTGAGGCGTAGGAATTATTATATTTACCTTTCAAATGATAGCAATTGTCCTAAATAGATTAAATGACTTGTTTAAGATACTCCAGCTAACAAGTGACAATATCAAGATTCAAATTCTTGTCTTAACTAGTAATCTTTTACACTATTTTAGAGTAATAACAAATCATATATTGACAAAGCATTTAAAGTTCTTATTTTTAAAGTTTCCCTATGTATTATATGTTTTATTTTACCTTTATATTTTTCTTTCAGAATCCACCAAACCCACCTGTATCACCAGGAAAGCCTGCAAATGATATCAGCAGTAATAGTAATGTACCCTACAGGTGAGAATTGTAAATGATACATTTGTCCAGTTTTAAAATAGCAACAAGGTTCAGATTTTAGTTTATAGAAAAACCATAGAATGTAATCCTATGTGTTTATGTGGAGATAAGTGTTAAGTGTACTGGATTAATTATATTTTCTTCTGCTTTGTTATAAGTTGTCAGCTATATTACTGTTGCTAATTATAAAGCTTTCTTTGGTCAATGCAGATTTCTTTAACCACTTGTAGTAAATAATATTCTCTCAGGTAATTCAGAGATGCTTTGATTGGGGGTGAGAAAGACTTCTGTCTGTAGATGTTAGGACCTACATTTGACCATCAAGTATAAGTACTGAGGACATTTGAATATAAGAGGAAAACTCTTCTCTAATGCTACAAAAAAACCATTGCCATTGAGTTGATTCCGACTCATAGTGACCCCGTAAGACAGAGTAGAACTGCCGCATAGAGTTTCCAAGGAGCGGCTGGTGGATTTGAACTGCCGACCTTTTGATTAACAGTTGTGCTCTTAACCACTGTGCCACCAGGGCTCCCTAATAGACCCTAGTATTAAGAAGGCCCTGGTAGCGCAATGGTTAAGTGTTCGGCTGCTAACCAAGAGGTCGGCAGTTCGAATCCATCAGCTGCTCCTTGGAAACCCTATGGGTCAGTTCTACTCCGTTCTGTAGGGTCGCTATAAGTTGGAATTGACTTGATGGCAGTGGGTATATTAAGAAGGCAGTGTGCCAGCTATGTCTAAGTGCATTCATTTGTAGTTTACTGCTGTAAAACACAAGTCTGTCTACCCTTTTCAATGGGCCGTTGCTTTCTCTATACATAAATTGGTATCCTCCATAATGGCATATCCATTGACAATTTATGTGAATATTTATTTCATAGAAACACAGGCACAGTGAGACAGATGCTGGAGTCCAAAAGAAATGTAAGCGAGAGTGCACTGCCATCCTTTCAAACCCCTGTGAATACAGGTAACATTCTCTTAACACCAAAATACCCCTTCTTAGGAATTGAAGGTTTTGGTTCTCTTTTTGTACATTCTTTTGAGTTTGAAATGACTAAAAAACTGGGCACATTGGTCCAGAATAGAGTACTGATTTCAAAATTTAAAAAAATGAGGATCACAGTTAATGTGTAAAAATCTAGCAAACCAAATCTCTTATGTCAAACATTTTGGTCTTCTGAAGCCTCTTTGCTCTTAAAAATTATTAAGAACTCTAAAGAGCTTTTGTTTATTTGAATTATATCAATCAATATTTACTATAGTAGAAATTAAAACAAAAGATTGCCATCGAGTTGATTCAGGCTCATGATAGCCCCCCATGTGTTGCAGAGTAGAACAGTGCTTCATAGGGTTTTTAAGGCTGTGACCTTTCAGAAGCACATCACCAGACCTTTCTTCCGAGGCACCTCTTGGTGGGTTTGATCTGCCAACCTTTTGGTTAGCAGTCAGGCACTTAACTGTGCTATCCACGGACTCCTAAGTAAAAATAACTCCTAGTAGAAATTAAAACTGATACTCTTTAAAAATATTTATTCATTTAAAAATACTACTAATAAGCCCATAGTGTGTAACACAAATAACATTTTTTTTTACAATCCAGGTTAGTCTCTCATTCAAAAATTTATACACAGTTAATGTGACCCAAATTGCTCTCCCTATACTGTGGCAGCACAGTCCTCCTTTCCACCCCTGATTTCCCATGTCCGTTCAGGAAGCTCGTGACTCTGCCTTCTCATCTCACCTCCAGACAGGAGCTGCCCATTTAGTCTCATGTATCTACTTGAGCTAAGAAGCACACTTTTCATGAGTATCATTTTATGGTCCATAGTCCAGTCTAATCTTTGTCTGAAGAATTGGCCTCGGGAATGGTTGTAGTTCTGGGTTGACAGATTCCAGGGGCCATGCTTTCTGGGGATCCTCCAGTCTCAGTCAGACCATTAAGTCTGGTCTTTTCACTAGAATTTGAGTTCTGCACCCTACTTTTCTCCTGTTCCATCAGGGACTCTCTGTTGTGTTCCCTGTCAGGGCGGTCACTGGTGGTAGTCAGGCACCATCTAGTTCTTCTGGTCTCAGGCTGATGCAGTCTCTGGTTTAATGGCCCTTTCTGTCTCTTGGGCTAATACTTTCCTTGTGTCTTTGGTGTTCTTCATTCTCCTTTACTCCAGGTGGGTTGGGACCAATTGATGCATCTTAGATGGCCGCTTACTAGCTTTTAAGACCCCAGATGCCACTTACCAAAGTAGGATGCAGAACATTTTCTTAACAAATTTTGTTATGCCAGTTGACCTAGATGTCCCCTGAAAGCATGGTCCCCCGACCCCTGCCCCTGCTACTCTGTCCCTTGAAGTGTTTGGTTGTATTGATATTATTAAATTTAATTAAAAAAAGTTGTACTGACTTGCCCTGTAGTGTGTGCTGTCCTTCCCTTCACCCAAGATAATTCTTGTCTACTATCTAGTTAGTGAATAACCCTCACCCTCCCTCCCCACCCTCATAACCATTAAAGAATGTTTTCTTCTGCATTTAAACCTTTTCCTGAGTCCTTATAATAGTGGCTTTATACAATATTTGTCCTTTTGTGACTGACCAAATGCACTCAGCATAATGCCTTCCAGATTCCTCCATGTTATAAGATGTTTCACAGATTCATCATTGTTCATTATCGTTGCGTAGTATTCCATTGTGTGGATATACCATAATTTGTTTAGCCATTCATCCATCTACAGGCACCTAGGTTGTTTCCATCTTTTTGCTGTCATAAACAGTGCTGCGGTGAACATGGGTATAACACAACATTTTTAATGAAAAATAGCTATCTATTCCAAAACAAAAAACCAGTGAAAAGAGTATTATTATTTTATATCTTTAAAAATCTCTTTAATGTCTTGCTTAAGACATTAAGACAGCTGGATTCTCATATCTACGTCTGCATTCAGTATGTTGTTTTGGTTGAAGTATTTGAAGGAAATTCAGCCTCACACTGAATATATAGTTGGAAAATGGAGGAATGTTTTACTAGCCCTTTTAGATAATTGTGAATATTCTTTGAAACTGACAAGTGTATTTTATTACAAGTTAGTTGCAAAGTTGAATCTGAAACCATACTGATAAACTTTTCTAATTCAGTTACATTAAAATCCATTTATCCATCATGCACTTTGGATGGATCTGTTACTAATTCATTGATCATTTGGAAAATACTAGTTCACTGAATTATGCAAGTCTTTCACATGTTGCCACATTTCGTTAATAAATATAAAAACAAATCACATTTGTTAATCTGATCATCAGTTCTCGTTAGAAAAGTCTTTTCAAATTTGGGAAGTTATCACTGTCACAGTGGCAAATACAAAGTTTCCCCAAAATTCTACTTTGTTTTAAAGCTCAAATTTAATGTTGCCAGTAAATACTGTTGGTTGTTTTCTTTGAAGTTACTGCCTTACATGATTTCTTTTCAAGAAAAGATCTGCCATATACCCAAACATGAGTAACCACAGTAAGTTTGTAAGTTGTTCTTTCAAATAAAATGGCATTCCATGAAAAAGGCTGCTGGTTCAGTTTACTACTCAAACATTGCACAAGCTTCTTTCCTTGAGCCGGCCATCCTACTTAGGCATGCAGCTGTAGTGCATGTATACTTCCTGTTTCTTCACACAAAATGTTAAGATTTGTCTCAAGGGTTGAGATTTAATGTAATTAATAGTTTTTATTACTCATCAAAGGCATTCTTTCTGTTTATTTGCTTAAGATGCTGCATGCTTTGCTTGTTTTTTACGGTGGATATATGATGGTAACGAATACAGTTACAGTTTGGTACCACTACCTTGATTTTTCTACTAAGGTACCAGAATTTTACTCACCACTGTTTTTATTCTATCGGCGCAAATGTCCACACAGTGAAAAAGTCAAATAATTTATTGTTATTGTTACGAAAATAGTTTTGACACTGAAGACTCCCTGAAAGGGTCTCAGGAACCCCCAGATATCCCCCTGGACTACACTTTGAGAGGTGCTGCTCTTGTGCGCTTTTAATTTTTGAATGACAAGAAACCAAATGAGAGAGAAACTTGGTCATCTATTATAAACCTGGTCAAATGAAGTAAATACAAGTAGTTGAAGCAAAATCACCATAAAGCTGCAGTGACCAGCATTTTGCTTTTCTCTGCTCTGTTTGTATGCTCCCTCACTGCTTAATTCATTATCCATCTTCACTAAGTGCTTTTTTCCCTATCATACAGTGTCAGTAGAGGGAGCCTTTCCTTACTAGTTTATCTCCCAGGGAGTTCTATCACACTTGATCCACAGATAAACGTTTTACACAGTCCTAATGATAAAATATAATGGCCAGGTTTATCTGTCACTCATTAATGGTGAGACCTTTTCTGTAGATTTACTGTTTGGGTTTATATACTGTAGGTGTTCTGCAAAGACAAGTAAGAAGCAAACCCATTGCCGTCGAGTTGATTCCGATTCATAGTGACAGTATAGGACAGAGTAGAACTGCCCCATAAGGTTTCTAGGGAGTGGCTGGTGGATTCGAATTGCTGACCTTTCAGTTTGCAGCCAAGCTCTTAGGGTAGTTTCAATTATATATATATATACACACACATATACATGTACACACACACACATTATTTATTAGTTTTTTTTGTGTGTGTTTTTAAGTTTTTCCAGTTAGTTGCTCTGAAGTGAATTTATAGTAATTTTCAGAGATTGTTTTCCTGGTGAGACAGCAGTCACCCGTATTAATCATAAATCATGTGCTGTTTCCATATTGTACCAAACACACAGCAAAAATGCTTCTAAGAATTCTGAGAATTTCTAGAATTTGAATCTGTACATAATTTCATTATCAGAGATTTTATTGTATCTAATGTAATGTATTAAATTTGTATGTGCTGTATTTTCCTAGCTGATACATGAAACTAGGCATTTAAACTGAGACTTTTCTTTTCTTTCTATAGTATCTTCAACCAGTCTTATCACTCCTCCAACAGTTGTCAGTAGTCAACCTAAACTGCAGACTCCAGCAACCTCGGGTTCTCTGACAGCAACATCAGTTCTTCCTGCACCCAACACAGCTACAGTAGTTGCTACTACTCAGGTGCCTAGTGGAAATCCCCAACCTACAATCTCTTTACAGCCTTTGCCAGTGATTTTGCATGTGCCTGTTGCTGTATCCTCCCAGCCTCAGCTTCTGCAGAGCCATCCAGGGACTTTAGTGACCAATCAACCTTCTGGCAACGTTGAATTTATTTCTGTGCAAAGCCCACCTACAGTGAGTGGTCTGACCAAAAATCCAGTATCTTTGCCATCTTTGCCAAACCCCACTAAACCAAACAACGTTCCTTCTGTGCCCAGTCCTAGTATTCAAAGGAACTCTCCTGCTGGTGCCGCACCATTAGGAACAACACTTGCTGTACAGGCTGTTCCAACAGCACACTCTATTGTACAAGCCACAAGGACTTCTTTACCCACAGTAGGCCCATCAGGACTCTATAGTCCATCAAATAATCGAGGTCCTATACAGATGAAAATTCCAATTTCTGCTTTTAGTACTTCATCTCCTGCAGAACAGAGCAGCACTGCCACCCCAAGAGTTGGTAAGTCAGTATATCTGTTTAATAATAGAAACGTAAGCATGTAAATGCCTTTAGGTGATTGAACTTTCTTCAGGGGTTGGGGGGGTCATGGCTAGTGTTGTTTGAAGAGCAGAGTAAATAGAATTTCCTTGGTTATGTTTAGTTATTCTTCAGATACCTAACAGAAATTATAATGTTTAAATGAGATGGGGGAAGTGTATTCTGAGTGAGAGGTTAGGATTTGTATTTTATCTTTTAGTAGTTTTCCTAATTTGGGTGAATTTTTAATTTATGCTTTATACCAAGCATTATGAATTACTTTAAAAATGCTTTTCCAGGAATATGAATAGAACAATTATTTTTTAAAGTATCTAATTGACGTAGTTTATTCTTGTAAGAGAAAAATGCAACTCTTTGTACATTCATCATTCACATCTTCCAAATTTGAATAGTTTAAAAATAGATTTCTCCCCCTCATTTACTACAGAATGATTGCTGCTTCTGTTATTTATTTCGCCTTATGATATATTATACGATTATGTTGATATTTACTTAGAAGTATTACCAAAAGGAGAACTTGATTTTACCTGTATTTAAACTCTGTAAAACTCTGCCGTATCTTCCTTCATCCTGAAAGCATACATTTTGTATACATTCCTTAACTTGGTTCTTCTTCTTTTCTAATTTCACATTTAATCTTAACTATTTTTGGAAAGACAGATAAGAATGGGTAGGCATCATGTGTAACTGTATTATCTGTCTCACTGAGATAGTGACTGTGAAATTTAAGAAACAGATTCTAAAGTACAAAATTACTTTTATAAGTGAGAAATTCAAACTTTCCTTTTTATTTGTCGTATAACGATTAGTACTGTACTTAGCCTCTAAATGTGTCCTCTTACATAAAATTCTCATGGTATTTCACAGTTGTTGAGGGACTCAGTGAGCTGCAGATCCAAATTAATATTGGGCAGAAGCTGAATATCACCCTCATACAATGAACATCTGAGATATATGAGTCTGACATTTTATCTAAAAATACAATTATTAATATTAGTATATATAGCTTAAATGTTTGGTATAGTGCAGGAACAATATTTCTTAACATTGTGTGCCACTACATTATTTCTTAGACATTATTATTCATGTTTGAAGTGCTAAAAGAAATGCTTACTTTTAACTGAGATTAGTGGACAAGCAAGATTCTTTGTGGTACTTCCTTTCTCTCTGATTCTTTTTTTTTTAACTTACTACTCATATTCCCAGATGAGATATATTCCCTGTTATAGAACTTTTCTTGAAAGACTATGGCTTGCAAAGAAGTAAATTACTTAGGGTTTTTTTGTTTGTTTAATTTTATGGATGCTAGTACCATAATTAATATCAGAATTATAATTTCATTATTGTGTTCTCCTAAGATTTTTATGAACATTTGATAGCTCAAAAAGAGTATGATCTTCCCAGTGTTATCTAGCTGATGTACTTTTTTAATTAGTCATAATAAGTGTCAGTCTGTTTTCAAGTTCATTTTATTATTTGAATGTTCTTAATTGTTTTTATATGTCAATTTAATATTTTTTACAATCATTATTATTTAGTATGACATTTTACTTTTTGTGATAGTATACATTTATATGGAAACTTACAAAATTTTGTATTTTAACATATTTATTTAACTTGTGTATATGTATGTATACATAGATTTATTAAGGAAAGTTTGCTGACCTTATTCCATTAAGAATACTTACCTACATTTACCACATTGGAAAGTGAATTATTAAATATTAACAATAAATTTTAATGACAAGCTTTGTGTGTTTTTAATGTTGATTAGAATGAGATCCTGTGAGATCATACGTACTTTGATCATGCATAATTTTAGAGGTACCAGAAATGTGGTTAACATAGGCATTTGTCTGTTTGGGCTTCCCCAAACCTGAGCGGAAGCCAAATAGCCAAATTTGGCTGCATATGAAGGTTAAAGCCAAACTTCAGTGTATCCCTCATGTGATAAATTAATTAGGCCATGAAATTAAAACTCATGTAGGTGTTATTTACTTAATGAAAATATATGCTGTGTAACTAGACTGTATGCATTTGTATGTATTTTATTATAATTCACTGTATCCTTAGAGATTGTTAGTATTTTCTGATGATAGTAAAGTAAAAATCTCCTAGAAGTAGCTTAGAAATTTAGGGCTCAAATTATAGCTAATTGCATTTATTCATCAAATATTGAGTGTGTGTATTTTTCTAAGGTCCTACAGACACACAGAGCTATATCAAATAGTCCCTGTTCTCACTGAGCTTAGAATCACATAGGGAACTTGGCCATTAAATAAGTAACTATAAATGTGATGAGTGTTAAGATAATGCTTGTTGTTGTGAGAGGATATGGGAGGTGTGGGAAGGTTTGAGAAAATGAATGAAAAGATGAGGGAAATAAAACCAAACCAAAACCAAACATGTTACCTTCGAGTCAGTTCTGACTCATGGCAACCTCATGTGTTACAGAGTAGGGTTTTCTTGCCTGTAATCTTTACAGAAGCAGATCGCCAGGCCTTTCGTCTGTGGCACCACTGGGTGGGTTTGAACCGCCAACCTTTAGGTTAGTAGACGAGTGCAAACTGCTTGCACCACCCAGGGACCTGTGGGGGAATAAGGGAGGTATTAAAGGTACTTTGTAGGGGGTGACATACACGAGCACTGGCTGCAGTGTGGAGAGTTGTTTTGGAGAGGATTAGAATGGAGGTCAGGAGATCAATTAGGAGACTCTTGTAGTCATCTAGATTAGAGATGGTAGTGTGTAAAAGACTTGAAAGTTATTCAGTAGGTACAATTGACAGTAGTTGGTAATTTATTGATAAAAGATTAGGTGGATAAGGGAGATGGAGAAATTAAAGATGACTCAGATTTCTAAGACCTTGTTAAATGCTGTGCCATTTACTAAGATTGACATTAAAGGAAGAACAGATTTTGGAGGAGAGTTATATATAGTTAATGTCCAATGTCCCCTCTCAGATTTTACTAAACATCTTTTATTCCAAAGGTATAAAAATACTGTAGTTTAAAAAAAAACAAACAAAACTATTGCTCCATCAACCATAGTTTCCTTTGAATTTCTTCAAGGGCAGAATTAAACTAGTGAAGAATTTGCCCTCTATTTGTGTTCATACAATAATTATCCAGCCCTATTAAGGGACACTGTCAGTTGGCATTCCTGTAATATCATCAGTGTATCTTAATACTGCAGCATGTAGGATCAGTAACCTAGAATTAGTTTTATATTACGTATGTAGTCTTTTTAAGACTTCATAGTCCAAAACATGCTAATTCTTAATAAATGAAGTAATTTTAAGATGATTTTTTAAAAGTAAATAATATATTAATATATTTTTCCTACAAAGATAGTCACGGTAATTCAGAAGGGTAGGTCGAAATTGTAAGGGCCTCATTTTTTACTTCCTTATCCTGGGATAACATCTATTAATAGATAGATATTTATCCTAGTTTTTTTTTTAAGTACAGATTTGTATATGTACATGTGAAAATACATAGTTTTATTTCTTTTTTTTAACTAATAGTTTACATGTATTCTGAAGATTTGCAAATGAAAGATGTGCCATGTCTTGACAAAGAAGGTGTTATTCCCAGAAAGCAACATTAGAAAACCTGATTAACTTAATTCACCACATTACCGAAGATAAAAAGCTTAACTGATCACCTCAATAGATGCCAAAAACATTTGATAAAATTTAATACCTTCTCCTTTCTTTACTCAGTTAGAAACTGGGATTAAACATACTTAGTTTATTTTTTATGCTATTTTGGAAGTAGCTTTCCCTATAAAATTAATACAAGTTAATTCAAAAATGAGTTAAGAAAAGTCATCTGTGGGTGAAAGACCCAGATTATGTGTATTTTCTTTGAATCACTGTGTACATTTCTACTGTTTTCAACTAGTTTCTTTACTGAATTTATTGCAAACATTTTTGCCCTGTCATTAATTTTTCTTCTCCAAAAGGGTACATAGTATGGAGGAATTATATTTTAACCATTCCCTTATGTGAGAACATTCAAGTTTTCTACATCTTAAATTATTTCCCTGAGCTATTCCTTAGGATAGAATTAGAATTGCTGCATCAATGGATATGTGAAGTTTTTAAAAATCTGTTATAAATTTGCCCTTCTGAGAGATTCTTCAGCAGTGATCTGTGAGAGTATTTATATGTTACATGTTGACAGACAAACATAGTTGTAGAAGATGAAATGAATTATTGTATATAAAGCAACCTAACTTTTTACATTCTGTGTTTTTAAAAATGGCTCTAATTTTTTTTTTTTTGACCCCTCAGAAAACCAGACAAACAAAACCACAGATAATTCTGTTAATAAGAAAGCAGCTGATAGTACATCACAGGTAAGATTTTTCCTTCTACTTCAAGGTAAAATTCTAATTACAGTCCATAGGATTTCCATCAGTATTCTTTTGTATGATGAAAAATATTCTAAATCTGTTTTTTACAGCTGTCCAAATGTTTTCTAAGAATTTCTTTGTAACATTTGCCAAGAATTGAGTTTCTTTGCTTAACAGTTCTTTTATAATTTATTATATTAACTAACTGCTTGGATTATACAGTTGAAATGTCCTTCACCTTCATGTAGTGTAAAGATTCAGTTTCTATGGAAGCTTATGGGACAGTGAGTTTATCGTAGTGGTGGTAGAGTAATTTGAAAAAGGGTAGTGAGAATGGGTATATAACTCGAAGAATGTAATCAGCGTAACTGAATTGTACCTGTAGAAATTGTTGAATTGGTGTATATTTTCACCAGAAAAACCCAAAAAAATGATTCAGTCTCTCTAAAGAAAGCATATGAAGTTCTCCTTGAAGCCCATCTTTTTTTAGACAGTCTCACTGGCTTACCACCCCCACACACCATTTTATTTTTCTTTAGAGCTGATCAGAAATATCATTTAGGGAAGAAGGTCTTGGTCTTTCTGATAGTTTATTAGCACTTTGCTAGTCTTGGTACTTTCTCATGTTAAATCTTTAAACCACCTAGTAGTGGAATAGCTACTTCTTTCATATATTAACATTGTTCTTCCTCGTTCTACTCTCTTGCTTTGTTGTTGTGTTCTTTGTTACCGTCAAGTCTTTTCTGACTCCTATCGCTGTAATAAATTTAGAGTGAAGTAATTAGGGTGTTGGTAGTTTTGTTTTCTTCCCTTCCTCTTTAAGAAGCTCCTGTATTATCCCTGGAAAAACAAAAAGTATTGAGTATGTCAGAAACAGGAATAAATGACATGAATTTTAAAACATTGGGGCATAATGATCTTTAATTATGACTGTTTTCCTTTAAGATAAATTTTGACCAGTGCTAGATATATACCATGGTTTACAAATCAAATTAAAGGTATTGAAAAAAAAATATTTCTTACAGATCTTAGCAGTATTTGTATGTAATATTAAAGGTCAAAGTTGTGATTTTTCCAAGAATGTCTTGTGGACTCTATGTTTTCAATTAAAATTATATGAAGTACTTTCTGGAAGTCTGTGATACGAGAAATGTTGTGAATTCAATGATTTTCAAGGGACACTTGTAGGAAGTCTAGGTGTACTTTATAAGTAAACCTAAAACTAAACAAAGAATTGACATCTTTAATTTCCTCAGTGAATTTTTTGGACAGGTTAAGTAACACTTGAAAAACAAGAAAATGATGTTGTTGTAATGGCTCAATTTCAGCGTTTTGTAAATTGCTTCTAGGGCTGTGCTAATATGGTAGTAGTTACATTTGGCTATTTAAATGTAAATTCAGCTATGGTTATGAATTTGTCAATTTCTCTTAATTTTGTGTTGGCTTTGCTTCATATGTTTTGATGCTCTACTATTAGGTGCATATTTATGTATAATTGTTATCTCTTCTTGATATATTGACCGTTTTATCATTATAAAGGAGTCCCTGGGTGTCACAAACTACTAATTGAAAGATTGGCAGTTCGAATTCACCCAGAGGCACCTCAGAAGACAGGCCTGGTGATCTGCTTCGGAAAGATCACAGCCTTGAAAACCCTGTGGAGCAGTTCTGCTCTGCACGGAGAGTTCACCTGGAGTCTGAGTCAACCCGACGGCAACTAACAACGACAGCAGTCACTGTAAAGCCTCCCTCTGCCCTTTGTCCGATATTAGCACAGCCACAGCAGCTTTTTATGCTTAATGTTTGCGTGTTACATCTTTGTTGTTTGTGACTTTGTATTTAAAATGTGTATCTTGGAGACAAATTATAGTTATTTTCTAATTTCTTACTTTGTTGTCCCATATTACAGTCCCTACATTATGGTAGGAATAGTCTATTTATAGTTAATGTAATTATTGATATGGTTGTATTTAGGTACTTAGGTCTGCTATTTTACCATTTTTTATTTGTCTCATATGTTTCTTTTTCCTTTGTACCTTCTTTCCTGCTTCATGTTGTGTCAGTTTTTTAAAAGCGTTCTATTTTATTCCTCTGTTGGCTTTCTAATTATATGTGGTTCATTTTTTTAAATCAGTTCTTCTAGGGTTTACAGTTTGAGTTCAAATCTTAAAGTTATACCAATATAACCCAAACCAAACCCATTACTTTCGAGTCGATTCCAACTGTTAGTGACCCTGTAGGACAGAGTAAAACTGCCGCATAGGGTTTCCAAGGCTGTAATCTTTACGGAAGCGGACTGCCACATCTTTTTCTGGTGGAGTGACTTCGAACCACTTACCTTTCGGTTAGCAGCCATGCGTTTTAACCACGGTGCCACCAACCAGCCAAACTCACTGCTGTCGAGGCGATTCTGACTCATAGCAACCCTGTAGATAGGGTAGAACTGCCCCATAGGGTTTCTGAGGCTATAAATCTGGAGGAGAGCAGACTGCCACATCTTTCTCCTGTGGAGCGGCTGGTGGGCTCAAACTGGCAACTTTTTGGTTAGCAGCTGAGCTCTTTAACCACTGTGCCACCAGGGCTCCTTTA